ATTAGAATAGGAACTCTTAACATTTATGGAACACACGTGTTGTGTTGTGTTGTGCTCAATCATGTCCAGCTCTTTGCGACCCCACGGACTGCAAGCCCACCAGGCTCCTCTGTCCATGCATGGGTTTTTCCAAGCAAGAATAATTGGAGTGGGTTGCCATTTCCTTCTCCAGGGGATCTTCCCGACCCAGGGATGGAACCTATGTCTCCTGCATTGGCAGGTGGATTCTTTACCTCTGCACAACCTACTGACACTCAAATAACTAATAATTTTGAATAATTAAAAACTTCAAACACCTAGAAAGGCTCCTAATCAGAAAGGACCCTCCTCTCCCCTTGTTGGCATTGTGGGGAGGCCCACAATTCCTTTCTAAGGATAATGTTGATTTTAAACGCATAAAATAAAATGCTTAGGATTACAAAGGAAATCAAATATATTTAAGTATATCTATCAAAATATTAAAACTGAGATAGAGAACTTAAAATCTTCTTTTTTTAAAGCACTGAATAATATCTTTAAAAAAAAACCTCACAAACATTATTTCCTAAAACTACATTTAAAAAAATATAATCAAGTTGTCAAATAAACTCAAGAAAACAGCATGTGAGGACAGCTACTCAGTTTTTGGAAAAGGTAAAGAACTACCCTAGTGCTTACATTGCTAGTATGTAATCTGGTCTGTGATGGTGTATTGGAAATAGGTACTTTTTTCTTCTTCTTTTAATGAAAATGAGGTGTCTGGCTACATACTAAACACCAGTTACAGAGAAAAATTAATGTAATCTAATATAACAAATTTTCCTTTACCATCATTTTAACCCAGAATACTATTTAAAAACCCAAATTAAGAAAAATGGAAAGTGATGGCAATTTTGCAACATATCAGAGTTAATACTGGATTCATTAGAAACTCAAGCCTTTACAGTGTACCAGACCTTAAATCATATGTCGGCAACTATCCTTTTAATACTAATTAATTGAGTAAAATAAAAAATTAAATGCAACTTGATCTGGGAGAACAAAGTTGAAGTAACCACAGCACTGTGGACTCTGTGGGGTTTTCACGGCATCGGGAAGTAATTACACAATATTTTCCAGAAGTGAAACAGTGAGTCTAACTGGAAAAAAATGTGGAAACATTTAGTTAGAACAGTAGAGCAAGGTATTAAAGATCCTTTTAAGGGGTTAACTCTGGAGGAAAATATGCAAATAATTAGGTCTTTAAGCATGTTTTTAATTAGGATTCTAGGATAAAAGTCAGAGGTATATTATGGTGCTCCTGTGCTTTTCCTGAAAACCCCTTTCTTGCAAAGTGATGCCTCCAATGTGAAGACCCAGCCTGACCACTGAGAACACTTCAGAGAAATATGTGCCAGGTTTCCCAATGACTTCTGCCTTGTACACTGCGGAAGACTACAGTCACGTGGCTCCTAAAGCGTACATGGGCAAGATTTAACACAAACTGGGGTAGCAACACATGGTTTTCATCTTAAGAGTCAGAAGTCATTCATGCCAACATCTTCTCTGAGTTCTTATGAATTCCAAGAGTTTCGTGAAATCTGTTTTACTGACTTCATTTTGATTCTGGCTTCCAGTTTTCCATGGCTCTGTGCTCAATGCTTGTATTTCACTGGGAGCAATCCTATGTTAGCCATGCTACACAATTTCTCCTTATGTTTCTGGCATATATCATTGTATTGAAAATGAATTTCATGAGAACCAGACATGGTTTGACTTGAGGAAGGGTAAGCGAATGTGAAAGTTGCTCAGTCGTGTCTGACTCTTTGCGATCCCACGGACTATACAGCCCATGGAATTTTCTAGACCAGAGTACTGGAGTGGGTAGACTTTCCCTTCTCCAGAGGATCTTCCTAACCCAGGGATCGAACCCAGGTCTCCCACATTGCAGATGGATTCTTTGCCAGCCAAGCCACAAGAGAAGCCCAAAAATACTGGAATGGGTGGCCTATCCCTTCTCCAGCAGATCTTCCTGACCCAGGAATTGAACCAGGGTCTCCTGCATTGTAGGCAGATTCTTTATCAACTGAGCTATCAGGGAAGCCTGAGGAAGGGTGAGTGGGAGATAAAATTAAAAGCACAATGTACAATAACCATCCAACTCTCATTCATTCAGCAAATATCTGTTGAGTGCCTAATATGTGCCATCTACTGTTCCACGTACTGAGGATTCTTCAGTGAATGGATCAGATAGAAACTGAGGCCCTCATGGGGCTACCATGCTAGTAGACTCTGCACTGTGTCTCACTAGACCTGAGGAATAACTCTCTGAGCCTCCAATCCAAAGGTCAAAAGTTCCATCAGGAGAGTGTAAAAAGGGCAGGGATGGCACCAGATCCTCACCCAAGGAGGGCAGGAATATAAAGTCATTTCTGGAGTGAAACATGGGGGATTTTGGCTATTGGCATGATGGCCAGAGCTGAGGCTCGACTAAAAGAGTAGAGAGACATATGCTATGGACAGAATTATATCCCCACCAAGTTCCCATGTTGACAACCTCACCCCAGTGTGACTGACTGTATGGAGCATGGGAGGAATGAAGGTTAAATGAGGTCATAAGGCCCAGCAATTCCACTGCTGGGCATACACCCCAAGGAAACCAGAATTGAAAGAGACACATGTACCCCAACGTTCATAGTAGCACTATTTACAACAGCCAGGACATGGAAGCAACCTAGATGTTCATCAGCAGATGAATGGATAAGGAAGTTATGGCACATATACACAGTGGAATATTACTCAGTCATAAAAAGGAACACATTTGAGTCAGTTCTAATGAGGCGGATAAAAATGGAGCTTATTATACAGTGAAGTCAGTCAAAAGGAGAAAGACAAATACTGTATATTAATGCATATGCATGGAATTTAAAAAGATGGTAATGACGATTCTACATGCAGGGCAGCAAGGAGACACAGATGTAAAGAACAGACTTTGGGACTCAGTGGGAGATGGCGAGGGTGGGATGATTTGAGAGAATGGCATTGAAACATGTCCATTACCATATGTAAAACAGACGACCAGTGTAGGTTCAATGCATGCAGCAGGGCACCCAAAGCCAGTGCTCTGGGACAACCCAGAGGGGTGGGAGGGGAGGGTGATGGAAGGGGGTCTCAGGATGGGGGTGACACATGCATACTGGTGACTGATTCATATTAATGTACGGCAGAAACCGTCACAACACTGTAAAGTAATTATCCTCCAATTAAAATAAATAATTTAAAAAATAAAGGTTCTTTTTTTCTCTTAATGAGGTCATAAGGGTGGGGCCCTGATTCTCTACGATTAGTGTCTTTATAGGAGCCATCAGAGATCTGGCTCAGCCTTTCTCTGCATATGAGGACACAGCTAGAAGGTGGCCATTTGCAAGCTGGAAAGACAGCCTTCACCAGGAACCAAATCAGTTGGCACCTTGATCTTGGACTTCCCAGCTTCAATACTACAACAAACAACTTTCTGTTGTTTAAGCCACTTGGTCTGTGGTATTTGGTTTTTGGCAGCCTGAGCTGACTACAATAATGTCATACATCTCCATCACTGAGAGACCTTCCAGTAACAAAGGGAGTTTGAGTTATAAAAAACCACACACTGGAAGATGCCTTCCTATGCAGTAAGCAACACATGAATTCTGGATTTGACTTTTGATATTCGCATTCAAATACTGCTACAAAACTATGAGATGAAGTCAGCTTAACACATTGGTAACAATGACACTGAAGGCTCTTTTAAGAGCTAACCTCTACTTCAGATACCCTTTCATCAACCAAAATAAAAAAAACAAAAAACCCCTCATGATCCTCTAAACCCTCCTTACCTTATTTATTTTGAGATAAATAAACATTCAAAGAAATTAAACTAGCATTTTGATACTTATTAGGGCAGGACTAACTGCTTTCTTTGGACTGGTGATTCTAGCATCTATTTAGGTTACAGAGCATTTTATGTTAAAAGGGTCTCTGAAGAATATTGCAAAACAGTGATATACTGAATTCTACCATATCAACTGGAGAAGACACTTGAGAGTCCCTTGGATTACAAGGAGATCAAATCAGTCAACCCTAAAGGAAATCAACCCTGAATATTCATTGGAAGGGCTGAGGCTGAAGCTGAAACTCCAATACTTTGACCACCTAACATGAAGAGCCGACTCATTGGAAGAGACCCTGATACTGGGAAAGATTGAGGGTAAGAGGAGAAGGGGACAACAGAGGATGAGATGGTTAGACAGCAAGCTCACTGACTCAATGGACATGAGTTTGAGCAAAATCCAGGAGATAGTGGAGGACAGAAGGGCCTGATGTGCTGCCGTCCATGGAGTCACAAAGAGTCGGATATGAGTTAGTGATTCTACACAACAAACATACCAATTAGGAAAAACTTCACTAACTGAAATTATAACAACATCTTAAGTATATAAGGCTCCACATTCAAGAAGAGCCAAACAACCTTAAGAACATTGCATTTCCAAAATTTTCAGATACTAGTTGTCTATTATTTGTTAATATGTTTTGTTTTAATATGCATTCTTCCACCAACAACAGCACACCAAAGTTTAGGAAAATTTTACAGGGCAAAAAAATCTTTGGATTGAGAACATTTTATCTTCTCTCTTTGAACTAATTAGAAAGAGAATGCCAACATTAAGGTCCTGCTGTGGAATTCAGTTTGAGAACCACTGTTACATCTAAATGTATAAAACATCTGGGCTTGGGACTTTCCTGGCAGTCCAGTGACTAGGACTCCTTGCTTTCAATGCAGGGGGCATGGGTTCAATCCCCTGTTGGGGAACTAGGATCCTACATGCTGTCTGGCGTGGCAGGAGAACAAAACAAAACAAAAACCCATCTGGGCCAAGGAATCTCTGACCAGTTCCCAGGCCTCAGAGTCATTATGATACTCAGAAATGGACAGAAACTTAAGACTCAGAGACAGAGAAGATGACCTGGTGAACCAAAAGGGCTGGTTTCCCACGGATGCAACTCACAATTCATCCTGTATGTTGTCTGTCAGTTTGAAGAGCTGCTCCTGGCCCTCTGCCTGGCTCTCCGAGTAGCGGGGAAGCAGGCCCTGGGGCCCTGTGCAGCAGCGTGGCTTCCGTACCCTCTGTGCTTGAGTCCTAAGGTGGGAAGGTGGACAGAAAAGCAAAAAGGTTACGTGTTAATGCTGAAATGACTTCCCTTCCATCCTCGTCTAAGATAAAAATGCCACTTCATACAGGACATGCTCTAAATCTGCTGACCAGCATTAAACCCACACTCAGTATCCCTTGTGAATGCACTTGAAGAAAGTGATTAAAATCTCCAGGTTTGAATAAGAACTTCACCGTTGCCATTTCCTAGACATGTGATCATGGGCAAGTCAGTTCACTTCTTCAATCCCCAGTTCTAGTTCTCTCTGTAAAACAGGAGGGCAGTACCTACCCTGCAGGATGGGTGCAAGGATCAAACAAAACGATGCCCACCAAGCCTGGGCTGGACAGAATGTGGGCTTTCTGCCAACGGTGACTCTTGCCACTGCTATTATTATTGAACTTCCACTGGGTCACCCTCTATATTTCTAGGGATCTCTCGAGAGACACCTCTAGACTTGGAAAAGGTCAGGAAGAAGAGTGAGAGGCTTTGGCCGTGAGTGAGAACACACCAGGCTCCTCATCTTCCAGGAGGAGCTCAGCTGCCTGGTGTTGGGGGACGGACACGGGCATCACAGGAGGGAGGAAAGAGGCTCCGTGGACCAGTCCCAGGCCACAGGCTGGGCTCTAACTCACAGTCTTCAGCTGTTGGTTGCCCAGAGGAATCTGCTTTGCTATGGCTTTCAGGGCAGGCTGGTGTTGTCTTTTTCCACAAACCATATACAGGGTAATTGATAAGTACTTTCTGGTGTTTTCCTAGAAACAGGAGTCCATATTTGTCTTGGAAAGGCTGTGCATATTTCAGATGACTGATAAGAGTGTGCCTGGTCTGTCCTCGGCCTTGTACTTGGTGTACTTTTCATTATTTGTTCCTGGATTCCAGTGAAGCAAAACACCCCTCTCTAGACACATCTAAATGAGAGGCCGAGGCTTGCCACTCCTGAATCATGAACTAAGAGACTTACTTGCAGGGCCAGGAAAGTGCCTGGTGGGCAAATCAGGGTAAAAAAACAGGGACAGAAACAGAAATCTGCCACAGGCCACACCATGGGTGAGATGGAAAGATGGGACAACTCAAAGCCCTCCTGGGCCCACGTCAACACTCCGCCTACCAGGCCACATGGTCTCAAGCACCATACCTGGGTAATGCTTGATTTGGGCTTGGAAGCCAGAAATCCAGTGATTAATTTTATAAAAAGTTCAGTAAAAAGGATACCCCAAGGATACTACTACTAATTGTGTTCTCCGAGTGAGACTAAAAAGAAGTTCTGATCATCTGCAATAAAGGAATGGGTAAAAAAACCCAAACAAACCACCCTATTTTATTTACATGATATAGTCACACACTCCTGCTGCGCACAGTCTCAATTCCTTCTTTAAGACAGAGGCACACCGCTGGCTATTTAGATCCCAACAACTGACTGAAGGGGGCTTCCCAGGTGACTCAGCGGTAAAGAATCTGCCTGCCAACGAAGGAGACACAGGAGACGAGGGTTCGATCCCTGGGTTAGGAAGATCCCCTGGAGAAGGAAATGGCAACCCACTCCAGTATTCTTGCCTGGAAAATCCCACGGACAGAGGAACCTGGCAGGCTGCAGTCCATGGGGTCACAAAGAGTCACACACAAACTGAGTGACTGAGCATGCAACTGACTGAAAATATGGAGGGCGGCAGAGAGGGCTGCCATCAACCCTCAGAGAGAAGTCTGACAACTGTTGTAAGGATGCTGGCAAAACACTGCGTGGGAGAGAAACCAGGGGAAGGAGTGAGGAGTGCTTTTCCAGGTAGCTGAGTTCTGTTCTTATCTCCTGGTCCAGTGAAATATCTACCGTCATTTCAAACACTCTCTAGGACAGGCTAAAAACATATCTTTTCCTCAAGTCAGGCTTACTATCCTATCAACCCTGAAGCTCTTGGAAGAGGCCTGGGTACTGTGGCCAAAGCCCAAAGGCCCTCAGGAGGCCTGCCAAGCCTGCTTCTCTACGTCTTCCAATGTAAGGCTGCATCCTGACTCCTCTCCCTACGTCCTCCTGGATCTACTGGGAGGTTTGAAGGCGCAACTTTCACATGTGCCCCAAATCTCTCTTTCTCTATTGCTCTTGTAACTGACAAATGATCTCTGGATTTGGAATGGATTGCGCCAATAGTTTTCTAACTTATTCTTTCTGTTTCCACTCCTGTCCTCCTCACAGCAAGTTGTTTCAAAAACAAGTCAGGTTAAGTTGGCCATGAACTCAAAATACATTTGCTTCACATCCCACTTAAATAAAATATTTGCTTATTGCTTGGCTCTCCACCTGGAATGTAAGCTCCATGAGAGGAGGGATTTTGTTTCATTCCTGGATTCATCATAGAGAAGCAGCAGTATTAGCTGAATAGATGAATGAAGGCATTTGGAGGTGGGGGTGGGAAGAGGTATAAAGGCCACTTTGATTACTGAGCTAAAAACGAGAGGTGATATGCAAACTTTGCTGAAGAGATTATAGACCATGAATGCTGAGCTTTGAAAGCCAACAAAATTAAAGCAAAATATGAACCAGCTCAAATCCCAACTTCCTGAGGGAAAGGTCAAGGGTGTATCTGGCCAGTCAACTAGTCAAAACAAAGAAGGTACATGAAGGCAGAGACGTGACAGTAACATCTCTGTTGACACATGTTTTCCTTAGAAGAAAAATTCTTTTCATGAGTACCCAAAGCGGGGGAAAAACATGCTACCAAGGAGGAGAAAACTCAGTGAAGTCCTGCCCTCCTCGGGTGAGATCCGAGAAGCCAGAGCAGGCAAGGAGAGGTGGTCCGTTTCTGGATCTGCGCTCCTGAGAACCACATCCCAAAATAACGACCACAGAACAGTTGTAAATGTAAGTAAGCGGACCTCTATTGTCACCAAATAGCTCTCTGGTGCCTACAGATGGTCTTGACTCCCTCCACACCTTCCCCAGAGTTCTGTGATCCAGTCTTCCCTCTACGTCCAGTATGTTATCTTCTAACTTTCGAACTCTAAACCCACCCAAAAATAAATAAATAAATTAATTAATTAATTAAAAAAAAGAAAAAAGAAAATAAATAAACAGACCCACCCAAATGCCAGAGTTGTTCCCTCATGGGTATGCGTTGCCTGTTTGTTAAGTTTTCTTATCTGTCTCCCCAACAGGCTGCAAACTATCTTCCCATTTCCAAGGTCCTCACTCCGGGATCAACCAAACACCAAGGGAAGGTTGGAGGGAGTGTTCAGATCCTGCTGCCTGGAGCTGCTTGCTGTGGCATTCAAGTCTCACTGTCCGCACAGACATAGGAGGGAGCTCAAATTTGCTGTAAGAGGACACGGAGTCACCCTGTGGTCTCATGAAGGTCCCTTTCAGACGGGGTGATCTAGACGTACTCTTAGTAGAAACAGAGATGGATTAAAGGAATTCTTCCCATAGTCCCCTACTTCCTTATCATTGCTGTTAAGTGAGAGAGGATTCCTACTTCTCTGAAACTGAACTAAAGTGTTAACCTCCTGAGGTCCAAGTTGGGAAGCTGGGGAATGGAGGAGTTAAAACCATTTGCATGTGAACAAATTTAGTTACAGACTTCAGCCAACAGAAAGTTTAAAGAGACATTCTTTAGTGCAGGCCCTCATGTGTTATGGAAACTGCTTTTTTCATATATTGACCGTGGCACTAAAAATTCGAGTATAACCCTTTGAGATCAGGATGACTGTACATGGCACAATCCTAAATCCGTTCACTCTGGGATTCACGAATATAGTTCAGTTCAGTTCAGTCGCTCAGTCATGTCTGACTCTTTGTGATTCCATGGACTGCAGCACGCCAGGCTTCCCTGTCCATCAACAACTCCTGGAGCCTGCTCAAACTCATGTCCATCTAGTCAGTGATGCTACCCAACCATCTCATCCTCTTGTTGTCCCCTTCTCCTCCTGGCTTCAATCTTTCCTACCATCAGGGTCTTTTCAAATGAGTCAGTTCTTTGTATTAGGTTGCCAAAGTATTGGCGTTTCAGCTTCAGCATCAGTCCTTCCAGTGAATATTCAAAACTGATTTCCTTTAGAATGGACTGGCTTGATCTCCTTGCAGTCCAAGGGACTCTCAAGAGTCTTCTCCAACACCACAGTTCAAAAGCATCAATTCTTCAGCACTCAGCTTCCTTTAGAGTCCAACTCTCACATCCATACATGACTACTGGAAAAACCATAGCTTTGACTAGATGGACCTTTGTTGGCAAAG